TTTCCTTTTCGTCCCCCATCAGCTCCAACTCACCCCCTGCACATATATACACACACACACAAACACAAGATTAACACTCCAAAATGACACACACACACTAGATTAACACTCCAAAATGACACACACACACACACACACACACACTAGATTAACACTCCAAAATGACACACACACATCCACTAGATTAACACTCCAAAATGACACACATCCACTAGATTAACACTCCAAAATGACACACACACTAGATTAACACTCCAAAATGACACACACACACACACACACACACTAGATTAACACTCCAAAATGACACACACACACACACACACACACACTAGATTAACACTCCAAAATGACACACACACACACACTAGATTAACACTCCAAAATGACACACACACACACACTAGATTAACACTCCAAAATGACACACACACACACACACACACTCCTGAATGACACACACACACACTCCAGAATGACATACACACACACTCCAGATTAACACTCCAGAATGACACACACACTAGACTAACACTCCAAAATGACACACACACACACACTAGATTAACACTCCAAAATGACACACACACACACACTAGATGAACACTCCAAAAATGACACACATACACTAGATTAACACTCCTGAATGATACACACTACTGAATGACACACACACACTCTCTCTCAACGACGCACACACTAGACACCACGAGACACACTCAACGCCACATACTCAGACACCACGACAGACACACACACACACACTTCATCATACGATATATTGCATTACTCTATAACTGTGGAATCGCGGGAACGGGCCGCAACGACTAAAATTCTGATTATGTCGAAGCTTCAGAGACTCAGTAATGTCAATATGATGAATACAGTGCTCGGTGTGTGTTTATAAATCTAACAGAGTTATATCTAGCGCGCGCGCGCGTGAGTGTGTGTGAGTGTGTGTACGTGGTTAGCGCGCATTAATCCCTCATAACACCCTCAGCCGCGCGCGAAATGTTCGTTATTCCCCTCAGACACATGGATCATTAACTCAGAGCCCCCAGGAAAGTCGGCTCGGCTTTGTTTAACAGCTCTGGGGAGTTTCGGGCTTCCACTCACCTGTGAATCAGTCGGCGCGTTTTCACAACACCGGAAAAACTATTCTCTTCACATGCCTTTCTTCCGACTGATGTCTTCCGGTCGCATTGGCCGAGGCGCGCGTCACACTGCCACCCCGTGGCCTATCATAGAACAGCAGAAAGCGGAAGAAGATTCGAAGCGTGTGTGTTTATCTTTGTTCTGTAATAAATTTATTTATATTTTCATTTTATTTATCGATTATCTTTATTTTTTTGTCTTATTATCTTTATTATTTATCTTTATTAATTCTGTAGATTTAGATTAAAGTGCTATTCGAATTTCGCCTTGTGTTAAACTACAATTGTATAAATAATAATAGCATTTGAAGACATTAAAGAGACGAAAAGTCAAAAAGCAATATATTTATACACTTTATTAGAGGATTTTTGCCAATATTTCATTTTGGTTACACAAACCACCTCATCATCACTCAAAGTAAAAGTTTGGTACACATGTGTTCTGTATTTATTATGTAAATATACATCTTTGTATATTAACGTATATATAAAATATATATAGCACACAATAATAAAACCCTAAAAAACTAGTCAAATGATTTATCGTGACCTCATCACTTCTTGACCTACTTAGAAAATAAAAGCTTTTTACTTTACACATCCTTGTATATAGAAAAGATGTGTGTATAGTATAGCATATTTTTATTTATTATGTTATACCACTGATTTATATATATTCTCTATAGATCAGTGGATCTATCACAGATATGAGTAATCAATGCTAAACGTTGATAAGTCCTATCATAAATGGATGTGATTTGTCCATTCGATCCTGCGCTGAGAAAAGTAACACAAATCACCTCACCGTGTCGGTGCTCAAACTGTAACGATTACATTATTTATTTTTGACCTACTTATTTCACGTCAAATTAAAACTACATATTATAATAATAAGACGTTATATCTACAGTAACACAGCATAAATCAGGCCGTGTGTGACAAAGCAGAGATCGTGTGAGTCATTTACGAAAGCCATGTTGAGGAGTAAAAGAATAAACTGTTGAGCCTTATTACTCCACACAGACACGCTTTATATCTGTTAACACGACATGTTCTTAAATATTTACATCATTCATGCCTTTAAAGAAAGATAAAGACACGGCTTATCAGGTTAATACAGATTATACTGTCGCCTCACAGTAAGGTCGCTGGTGCGAGTCCCAGCTGGGCCAGTTGGCGTTTGTCTGGAGCTTTCTCTCCGGGTGCTCCGGTTTCCCCAGTCCAAACACATGCGCTATAGGGGAACTGATCAACTAAACTGGCCGAAGTGTATGAGAATGAGTGTGTTTGGGTGCTTCCCAGTACTGGTTTGCAGTCGGAATTGCCTTTGCTTTGTAAAACATATAGTTGTGGCGATGAATAAATGAATGAATAAGCTGAAGGAAAATGAATAAATGTTCAACATCATGACAAACGAACACACATTTTTATTTGAATGCTTTTAATCCACAGATCAAATTATACAGAATTCCCATTAGTGGTTACAGTAAACGACCAAAACAAACAGGTGAGTCTCACAAACACAGACGAGAAGAGAATCTGAACTGCAGCTTTCATCAAGTTTTGTACTGTTCCAGTCAACCTCAAACTAAACACTGAAAACAAACAGAAACCCCAATAATGAAAACACACAGGGAAAACACACAAAGACAGAATTACCTCTGATGTTCCAAATCTAAACCACAGGACAATATTCCAGACATTAAACCCCAAAATAAGGCAAATATTAGCTCAATTTTTTTAACAATAAAGCAAATCATTATTAGGAAACATACAAAATGGACGCAGATTGTGGTTTGCTACAATCATTGCATTTGGAATGCACCGAAAAACATATAAAATAAGAATTAATTTCACACAAACGATAGAATGTGAGACATTTCCATTCTCCGTAATGATTCCTGTGCAAAATATCAGCTCGAGGAACGTCCAACACCCTCATTCACCTCAAAATCAAACAATTAATTTAGCTTAAAAAAAAATTTCAAACATCATTTTTTAAATCAATAAATCCATAAGTGTCATTTATCACGGTAGAAATTAATGTTTTATTTTTTGCACTGCGAAACTTTATTTTTTATTCACAGTGCGACGCAAACAAACAAACATCACTGTCCTAACGCAATAAAAGAAAACTAGTGCGCAATAGTGACCAAGAGCCTACAAAATAAAAGTTTGTTTACACATAATTGTGTTCAGGGCATTTATTATGTATATTTATATTTCACATCCATCTATAATAAATGTATAGAGGAGATATACAACATTATCTATAAATATGACTATATAAATATGCAAATATTTGTGAAAGTATATACATTTATGCACTTATATAAACACACACGCACATATAAACAAACTTATATCTCGTATGCGATTAATCGGCACTATTGAAAACATTCCTGTTGATTTAGTGGTCAAATATGAGGTGAATATTTGCTGGTAGGAGGCCGTCATTCACTCAAACTACACTTCAAGATTAAGCCCTCAGACGGTGAAACACCACATGATCTTTCAATGCTTGTCCAGGAGTTTCCTTCGAATCCAGCACAAGTCATTATTAGACTTTTAGCAATGATTAGGTCCCGAAACCACAGTTACTGTGACAGTTTTTGATAAGGCATGACCCCTCTGTGAAACCTGATATAAAAACTCACGAGCCTTTATAGTGTGCAGCTTTACGAGCAGAGCCAGTGTCTGTGTGGAGCCCGTGCGTTAGGTTAGTTTGGTGGACGTGACGTCACCGTTCTGGATCATGGGTTTCTGCTCGGCCTCTGTTGATTGGTCGAGAGCGTGCTGGATCAGAGCGTCTCTCTGGAACTGTTTGGCCTTGTTGTAAAGCAGAACTCCCACAAACACCATGAGCGTCCCGATGGCGGACACCACCGTGATGGGGTTACTGAACACAATGATGCTCAGCCAGATGGACAGCGCATGCTTCACTGTGCTCGCCACGCTAGCAGACAAACACACAACACAACACGTTATAATCTCAACAGTTTGATCACACACTAGCAGACACGCACACACACACACACACACACACACACACACAACACATTATAATCTTACCAGTTTATAATTGGATAAAACAGCTAGATTATGCTTTTCCTTTAGTGTTTTACTCACTAGTCAATGGGTTGATCATCGACTAGCTAGTCAACGAGTAAACTCTTCTACTCACTAGTCAACTCTTCTACTCACTAGTCAACTCTTCTACTCACTAGTCAACTCTTCTACTCACTAGTCAACTCATCTACTCACTAGTCAACTCATCTACTCACTAGTCAACTCATCTACTCACTAGTCAACTCATCTACTCACTAGTCAACTCATCTACTCACTAGTCAACTCATCTACTCACTAGTCAACTCATCTACTCACTAGTCAACTCATCTACTCACTAATCAACTCATCTACTAACTAGTCAACTCATCTACTCACTAGTCAACTCATCTACTCACTAGTCAACTCATCTACTCACTAGTCAACTCATCTACTCACTAGTCAACTCATCTACTCACTAGTCAACTCTTCTACTCACTAGTCAACTCTTCTACTCACTACTCACTAGTCAACTCTTCTACTCACTAGTCAACTCATCTACTAACTAGTCAACTCATCTACTCACTAGTCAACTCTTCTACTCACTACTC